TAGGCAAGTGCTCTGCCACTGAGCTACAACCACAGCCCCCACAAAACATTTTTAACTTGTCAATATTCATAGATTTACCCATCTTGAGGATTCTCTTTGTCTTCATTTCTTTTTCATAGACCTTCCATCAATGATCACTTTTTACCCAGAAACATATTTTTCATCCCAAACAGGTCAGTAAGAAGGGAAGATTTTGCATTAGAGTCCGTTATGTTGGGTAAACACTGGGCTTGTTGTTCTGTCCTCCGAAGCATCACAAAGCTGGTGAAGGCAGAGGTTCCAACCTGCCAGGAATTCCAACCTGATGTTCTGCTGGCTTCTTGGGGGTCCCTCTGTTCCTTACTATCTTGCTGGCATTTGATTGGTTTTAAAAATATGTTAGCATTTTTCATTATTTTCTCCAAGACAATCAGTAACCTGCTGTGGTACTAGAAGCAGAATGCCAACCAGTTTTGTAAATTTGTACTAATAACAAATATATTATAAAATTCTACTCACAAGTCCTTCTTGGGACATGATTCTAGAATGGTACCACCACATGTGTGTTCATATATTTAAGGGCTTTCAGAAGTGTCTTTTATTGCCTACAAGTATGAAAAGACTGTAGAAGACAGATGCAAGTATTGTGATGAAAATATCATTACCATTTCTTCTCAAGGGCTTAATAAGCTAAATTAGGATTATTGCATAATTTAGTTATAGTGGCTGACCTTAAATTATCATCAAATATTTTACACAGTAAAAAATGATGTTATAAAATATGAACCAGGCAGAAGCCAGTGACAAATGACAACACTGTCACCATTGTGAGTATGAAAAGAAAACTATTTCCATGAAGTCCAATATCATCCAACCTGCCTGGAGGCTTCTGACCAGTTCCTACCACTGTTCCTGCTTATGGCCAAGCTGCTTATGGGCTTAGCAGCACACAAAGAAGATTTGGCAAAGGGATGAGGATGTTTGCCTACAAGTCGAGCATTAAATGAAAACACTTAAACACTTTTAATTTGAGAGTTAAAAATGTAAGCAACGGTTTCTTTGTTCATTTTTCTGTAAAAAAAAAAATCAAAGTTCAAACTTTGTGGTTCAGAATTGGTTAGCTCTATCTGCAACTTAAGACTTTTCCCTTAAGGAGGTCACTTCTGCAGAATCATCTTGTGTCCTCCAGCCTCAACATGCATCTGAAAAAAAGCAAGTAAACATAAAGGTGAACCAAGTAGAGTTTTTGAACTGTTAGAAAATAAACATTTTGGGACTGGGGATGTAGCACAGAGGAGAGGGGAGGGGAGGGGAGAGGTGGGGAGGAGTATAGTTGTATACATTTCCAAGTGCTCTCCCATCACTTTTCTTACCATCTGGTTAGTGGTGAGGTCTCGAACCCAAATCTCCTGTCTCCTTTAAGGTACGTACTCTTTTACACTACTTCCCAGTCTGTTGGCTGCTCCTGAGCCTAAATTACATGGACATCTAGAATAAACAAAGTGGTCTTTTTTTCCTTAATATCTGATTAAATATTTTTTTAACAATGGGCCATATACAAATAACTCTTAACAAATTTGTGAGAAAAAGAAAGCCCTGCCTTTTTGCTGAGAGCCATTGCCAAGTAGGAATGACACATCGAAATTTCCTTGCCAGCGTACCCCATGTTGCTTAGAGGAAGGACTCGTGGAAATGGACAT